TATAATTACATCTATTTTAATTGCTTTGTTTCATAAAAGATTTCCAATACTCTTTTGGAATATTTTAAATGAGGATTATATCACGCACTTTAAATGCACTGACTGATTTTTTTTGTTGTTATATCACCACGTTACAAGAGGATCTCAGCAAACCTCTCGATATCCGATTCACCATGTTTTATCTTTCCATTTCGCTGTATCACGCATCACCTTTTCTGTTTAACCTTTTTGCGTTCCTGTTTAAATTAATTTTTACTTTTTCTGTGCTAGCTCGTTATATTTAATTATATTAGCATACTTTAATTGGGTATTCATTGTTTACTACATAAGTTTTTCTATTTTTATTGTATTACACGAATGTTATTTTTCAATATAATTAATTGCTTTAATAAAATGAAATGGACGTTATTCGTTCAATATAACTGCATTGCAATCCTGTTGATTATATTAAATTGTATTTTTTTTGACGCGGGACTTTTTTATTTATCTTCTTGTTCGGTGTCATAATAGTTCAATAATAGGGTGGGCAAAGAGTTGATGGGCTGCATACAGATTTTTATAAATAACTATTGTCTTTACTTCACTAGTCTGGTTAAACAATACAGGTGTTCAGTTATGTTGGCATGAAAGTCATCAGGATAAATATATCTCTTCTAGTTTCTGCTTTCGAATCTCATGTTTGAATATGCTGTAAATAATCAGAGCTAATGTAATTCTTGTTGGATTGTCGTGACAAAATATTTTCCATAACCTGTTTTCCTGCTGTACAGTGATAGGGTGCTTTCTTGAACTGAACATGAAGATCATAAAATTTTTGCAACCTTTTAAGATAACTTTCTTGGAAGAAATTTTGCTGTATTTTTATTAATGAGAACGTTTATCTTGAGAATTATTTTATATTATTTTAGTACACATATTCTTCGATGATGCATTCAAAACAGAAGTTATTAAAGGAACAAAAATAATCAAGGTGAATGGATATGTAAACGATCTGCTGGAAGTTGTTCAGGAAACTACTGGGTAAGTTGAGTCTTATCTAGTTTTGAAGGAACATATCGATGATAAGATTATATGGCTGTCAAAACTGACATGACAAACAATTCTGTATGCTTTCTGAAGCTGATGTATTGGTCATTTCAGCGTTTATGTTTTTAAAAAACAAGTGAGCTAAACTTATGATTTTAGAAATTGTATTATCATCTCAATAATCCTTGTTAACTTTTACCAGAGAAATGGTGTTGAAAAGAAAGTTCAAATATAACTTTGAAAGAGCTTTAGCATCAACTTGTGGAGCAAATATATGAATATGCACATAACTATACGTATAATGTATGCATGTGTAATGGATTAGATTTGTATATTTCATTGCTATAAAGACGTGAACAATATGAATTTTGGCTGTACATTTACAGGCATGACAACTGTTTAAAACAGAAAATTGAAACTCGCTACGGTGGAAGACTGGAATGGCGTTTACCACACGGAAACAAAATGATAGCTCACCTGAAGAATAAGGAAAAGATACGAGTTAGAAAAAGATGGAGCCAGGTTAAAACATTTTCAATTCATAACATACATTGATGCTGAAACTATTGAAACTTATTTAATTACACCAGCTATACCACCATTTTCAATGTCAATGAGAGAAAACAATTTCAGGACTTAAACAGCTAGCATTATTTCTAGTAAACAATAATACATTACTCTCACGTGTAGGCACGTACAATAATAATAATAAAAGAAAAAAGTGAAGACAACAAGATTTGTATATTTTAACAAAATAGTTTATTCCCTAGAAAGCAATCCAAAAATTAGAAAATAGGAATTGCGGTTTGTGAATATAATCCAAAAGATAATCCTAAGAATGAAAAGTACAAGTCCTATTACTAAACAGTTCTATTAGAATCCAAGTTTGAATCTTGACGACGTTCCAATATTGATGGCGATAAGAACGGATGTTGTCCTTGTACAAAATAGCAATAATATCTTAACTGAATCACATTTCCAAATAACTCCATCATGTATTTCCACCGACCTATTTTCTCCTAGGATTTACAAAACAGTACACCCATTTGTTTTTCAAGAGGATAAGTTTTTAAATTGCAAACACAAATGAAAAAAGAACAGTCTGGTTTCAACAATAAAATTACCTTCCCGGCCTTCTAGGTATCGCGCATAAAGCGCTCGGAAAGAGTATTATATCTACCATAAATATCATCCCGTTCTCGGCAGACAGACTACGAGGTCTCCTATCACTTGAAACATGCAGATAGAAAAATTAAATTTGTCACATAGGGAGAACCTATCTAATATCACTTTGAAACAAATTTAGAAATAACACATTGTTTGTTCAGACTTGATGAAATAAGCTTGGCAACAGCCACTCTTTTAACGTAGCGCTTACACTACCGCGGACCAAGGTAAATTAATGCGAATGTAATACGTTTTACGTCTTAGATAAGAAGAATTATTGAAAAAGAATTTCGAATCCCTGCAATAATCATTACAATAAATATGACACAAAACTAAAATGAATGTTTTTAAAAAACATAACAAACAAGCAATATAATTACAGACACATACCACTATGTATAAGAATAACATGCCATACTTGAGTTAGCGTTTAACACAATTGCATCTGAAAGAATAAATGACCATAGTATGCTTTCACAGCAAATAATTCACAAAAAAGTATCGGATAACAATTACACGGAAACCGATTCTCTTTTCGAGCTCAGTAAAAATAAAAGACTGTTCTAGTGTTTGAGCTTGCTTGAGAGGATGGACTTTGAGTTTTATGCACTTGTCTTTGTGAATTGAAGAACATCTTCATTTTTGTCTTTAGGAAGGCTTGCTATAAACGATAATTCATTTGGTAACTCCTAATCAGGCCTCTAAGTTGGCCATCATATGTTAGAATGTTTATCTAATTTTTATTTGTACTCTCTCTCTCTTTCTCTATCACACACTCAAATACATATCGTTATGTATATTTAATTTTCTTATTTGTACATTTTAAATATTTTTTTTTTTATTACATGCTCCTGTAATAAAATATTGTATGCATTACTTGATATTGTCGAAAACTGAGTTTATTCCTGTTTGACCCGATTGAATTCTTACAAAAATATTCATTTGACGTTAACAACTAATAGGATCTCCATTATTCTCTATGCAAATGAACGTGTTGTCAGGATTTTATTCAGCTGCACAGGAATTAGTCGATATGAATTTTGGGGTGTGTTGTATAATTTCTACTGGTAGGCTTTCTCACTTACCCACGTTAGCTGAGTCTGGACTCGAACTCATGCAGACAGAGGTGAGGTGGCAGTGATCCCTAACGGTCAGCTCTTTTGGATCCGCCAGTATATATATATATATATATATATATATATATATATATATATATATATATATATATATATATATATATATGGTAGATTGCAATTTGCAGAATGATTGCAACAGTCAACTTATTGATAGAATGGAGTAGTCAGTGGTACCTTCCTTATTCATCATAATACGCAAATAAATCTTAAAAAGTGTATGTTTTGTACTAGAGGTTGCCGTGTCTGAATCAAAGAAAGATATTCTTATTATTAATTAGCCTTGCAAATATAAATATCATTTAGGTGATGTACATGTACTATTTCCTCGGACATAAAATCTTGGGCGAGGCATACAAATCTGTTATGAGCATCGACAAGTTGATGCAAAGGTTGGAAACTGATGAGCATCTCAGAGAGCAGGCAAGCAATACATTTCTTCTTGCCTTGGATGGGGATGTTGATTTTAAACCCGAGGCAGTAAAGTACTTGATGGACAGAATGAAGAAATATCCCAACGTCGGCGCTGCGTGCGGAAGAATACATCCAACTGGAAATGGTAACTGTGATATTTATTTTTAAGTATGCTAAACACAATAGGAAGGTATGCTATCATATTTCTGCATAAAAAGTTTTGCTTTTACTCCAAGGTTTTGGAAGCCGTATACCAACAACATTAGCTTCTCTAATACATTCCATTTATCGTATTGGTTTTCAACAACCCGTTTATTGGCAACTCAGTGTCAACATTACCTGAGTGCAGTGTTTTAATCATCAAACGAATGCCTACTTAAAGAAGCATATATTAAATAAAATTGTGGAATGTAATATAAAGTTCAGATTCATTTAATTTAAGAAATATATTTTGTGTCTCGCATTTCTTATTCATTTTCCATAAACAAGTTAGAAGGTTAAACGAATGATTTATTCGACCTAATTTGCAAATTGCAGATGCACAGATCCTATACGAAAGAGCCTACTGTATTCTGTGTATGAAAAAAATAAATAACAAATAAAAGTATAATTATTGCATCGCAACTCTTTTAGGATGTAACATTTGTTTTAGCCGTTATATTAGCTGTAACATGTGCACACATTAACACATATCGTTGCTGCAAATAAAAAACCGATATAAAATGAAATGAAAATGTATCTTCGAAACACACGTATACCATTATATTGAACTACAACCTCATACCTTGAACATTGTTTGAAATGTCATAAGTCTTCAATTTATTCTACGTCATTTTACATTAATATTAGAATCAAATGTTTTGCGCTTATATTCATGATAAATATGTTTGCCATTGCTCTACATTGAAATACCATACTAGATAAAAGGTGCTTATTCTATCAATTGCACTTAACTTGCAGGGCCAGTAGTTTGGTATCAGAAGTTTGAGTATGCTGTAAGCCACTGGTTACAGAAAGTGGCAGAGGATACACTGGGTTGCGTTTTGTGTAGCCCAGGATGTTTCAGCTTATTCCGTGGATCAGCGTTGATGGACAACAATGTAATGAAAGTGTACACTACCCCACCAACCGAAGGAAGGCATCATGTACAGTATGACCAAGGTGTGTATGCATATTAGGAAATATATAAGTACGTATTATGCATACACTTTTTTCAAATACAGTGCGTCCATGCCATTAAAATTTAATTGGTACCAAAACACTTTCTCCATTCGAATCCATGACCTCCCGCATCCGAGGCGGACGCTCTAACCACTAGGCCACCGGAGCGGTTATTTTTGGTTTTGGCGTGCACACAGTTGTTAATGGAATTCACATATGAAACAAAATAAGTATTCATTGCAGAGTGAACATCGGTACTATCAGTAAGCTCTGGAATATATTGATTATATTTATAAAGTTTCGTTTATATAATATTATTAAAATACGCGTGTTTCAGAAAACTAAGCAATGTACAATCTTATCTCTAGATTTTTTCTACGATGACATGATGGATGTTCTGACACCTGTTTATAAAGGTTATATGCCAGATGTTTAACCAAGCAGACTAATATCATATTAAACGTGCTTTATCAAATCACATTCTAGTGTGGGAAGTTTGGCTTAACATTTTCAGTATCTCTTGTACTACAATTGATACAAATGTGATTACTCACTAGAGCAAACATACTAGTTTCTCCGTATGGTATGTTTGAGCAAATAATATGTTTCGCAAGCTTATGGGGTTTTACAGGTTGTCCAATGTCATGTATTTTATATCTTTTGGTATTAAGAAGAATCCGAAAAGGTGATTATATTTAATTTTTGCAATGCAAGTCAAACAAACAGTACAACTGCAGGTAATTGATACAAAATAATGAACAATTTTTTTTCCCACACCGATCCGTATGGAGACGACAGCAAGGGTTTATAATGCGACCTTCTGCCTCAATCTCTCGAACTTTCAATTTTGTGTGAGCGATAACACTTATAGGGGTTACAGAGTTCACCGCGCATATATATATATATATATATATATATATATATATATATATATATATATATATATATATATATATATATGTGTATATAATCCTTAATAAGTTAACCTGGAAAAAATTCTATTGATGATAAACAACAACATGGCAAATCTCTTCCGAAAGATAAGCCATTTCAAAAAATTAAACATGATAAAATATAATGAGTGTTCTTGAAATGGTGCACAGAAACGCATATAAAGAAGCATGTAGTAAAATAGACTTTATTATACCAACTGATGCTGTTTGAAACTGCAATATGTTCTAGGTAAATAACCGATACATTATTACATGTGAAAGCAAACTATTAGACTGTGACCTCAGCCGTGCTTTATCTTTGGATGGTTTGGGTAGTACAATTAATCATGCAGCATGAAATTGCTTCGGACGAAGGTTGGCTGCTGCAGCGTGGGTTGCTGACACTAGAAAGCACAGTGTCATTAACATGGCTTCTTCGTGTACAAGAAGACCTTTTTGCACACACTTTCTGAGAGTCATTTTTTGAAGGGATATATTGAAGACCAATATTTATGACTTTCACAATTTACGTATCATTTATTAAAATAATTATTCTGAAAATATAATTTTGAAAACTATTGTCTCACATTTTCTAACCTTTTTCAAAGTTGATTGTGTCTAATAGAGAGAACCTTCCCTAAACAGGACACTGGTATGTCGAAAAGATCGATATTTTGTCGAGTTTTTTTTCTGGCAGAAATTGGCAAACTGATATGATAAATATGCTGATCATGCTGTCTCAAATGTGTATATTTAGGGACTTTTTAGTGCATTTATATTGGCAGGTGAGGACAGGTGGCTTTGTACACTATTGCTGCAGCAGGGATACCGAGTGGAGTACGTGGCAGCTTCCGATGCATTGACAGAAGCACCAGAAGGCTTCAACGAATTCTTCAATCAAAGACGTAGATGGTCCCCATCTACTATGGCCAATATTCTGGATCTCCTTCTTGACTGGAAACATGTCAGAAAACAGAATCCCGACATATCAACAGTTTATCTTTTCTACCAGGCGTTTTTGATGTTTTCATCCATTCTGACACCTGGGACGATATTCCTTATGCTCGTTGGTGCAATACACACGGCTTATTCTGCGATAGATCTCTGGCTGGTGTTTTTGATAAACATTCTGCCATTGGTTGTTTTTGTTGTACTTTGCTTCAATGCCAAATCAGAAACACAGGTGAAAAATTTTACTCTAAATTTTAATTGTATCTACTATGTATGAGATATGTTGTATTCATATTAATTGTAAAATTGCACAAGCTAGTAACAATAGCAATTCATTTACTTTTCGCCCTTAGTTACAGTAGTACAAATGATGGATTCCAATGATTACCTAATGCACTGGTCTAATATATTGATACTGTGATCAGCTAACTAATCACACAAATTATGTGTTTACTTAGACGTGAATACTCCCAATAATTTGACATATATGTTCGATTAACATGAGGAAGAAGAGTATGCAGTAAACCGTATAACTACGTGTCAAATAATGACGTCTTCTTCATTTCTGCAGTAAACGCTTCTTTATTATCGCACACATAATGCAGTATAGCATTCATAAGGAGGTGATAGACTATTTCCGAGAGCTCTGTAGCGTCAAGGTCATGTATGACACAATAAAGTGTGTGGTATTATAGAAAAGTAGACAAATGTAGCTTTACGATGATACTAAATAATATGTATGTTCTTGTTGCACTACAAAACAGTGAGGGAAAAACGTAACTTTTTGGACCCTGTTCATTCAGGCAAAATAGCCAATGAAAAAGATGTTTCTAACACAACTAGGCATTAGGCTAACCTAGAATGTTTTGGAGGCCGATCTATTAAGATGTATTCAGAAATAGCCCCCAAAATGTGTCTCCTACTCGCATTTCAGGCGAAAACAACAAAAACCTTTTGGGGTTAATGTGTTAATATGCTACATGTATCGAAGTTCATTTAGCTATCTGTAGCATATTTGAAATTGTTAAATGTTTGAAATACATCAGATTCAATTATATCTGCTCTTAACTTTAGTGGAAATACCAATCATAAAATGTATACCTTATTTGTTAATTAAAACATGTCGATGTTGATTATTTCTGAGTAATATAAAATTTCTGTAATATACGTTTTAGAATTATTGTAATGTACGCAACGATTGATTACATTGTATCTAATTATAATAACATATTTTGAACAGTGTTAATCATCCAAATCTTAGGATGTTATTTTTTACAATAAATAGAGTCATATGAATATATTGTTTAAGTTTAACGGTAAAAAGTGTTATATGAATATATTATTTAAGTTTAAAGGTAAACAGCGTCATTTGAACATATAGTTTAAGTGTCATATACATTTATTGTTTAAGTCTAATATGAATATATTAAGTGCTTATTTTGTCACTTTTAATTTACTTCAGCGTCATGACGTCATTGATTTCTGCATACTACCTGATTCTGGTGTCATAATTCTTGCTTGAAAATATCAACTTTGCATTCTTTTGTTTTACTCAGCTTACATTTGCCGGAATTCTCTCCATAGCATACTCACTGGTAATGATGTTGGTTCTCATAGGACTGGTGATCACTATTGTTGACCTTGGATTCTGCTCAGTCACGACGATATTCTTTATTTTTGTTGCAAGCGTGTTTGTAATATCTGCACTGTTGCATCCACAGGTATTGAAACATTTTAGTCATAAATCAATGTTACTTTAGTATTTGAATAGCAATCATAATAATTACGTAATTTGGAGCTTTTTAGTCTTTGTAGAAGTGCATAAACAGTGAGAAAACACAGCTAGAACAAAGGTTAACAGTTTGGGCTCAGATTATACGACATAGACTTGCATTGTTATTCCTTTTGTTGTACAGAATACATATTTTCTCATCATTCTAATGAAAAAAGCAGATATTAGTAAAATACGTAATTGGTGTTACCTATTATATTGAGGCTTTCAAAATATGTTAGCAAAAGATAGGTTCATCGGACATTGAGAATGAGGTTTGTGAACCTTTTGTTATAACTGAGCAATTTTATGTATCCGTAGAGTTTTATATCTTAAAACACAAATTGATGTCTTCGGAATATATAATTGTATAATCGCCAGGAATTCAGCTGCATTTTCCACGGTTTTCTGTATTTCCTTGCCATCCCTGCAACCTCTGTGGTAATGGTCCTATACTCGCTCTGCAACCTGAACGTAACCTCCTGGGGCACAAGAGAATCTGTTCATACTACTGCCGGTAACAGCACAGTGAAGTCTGGATATCCACGCAACTGGTTCGACATATCACGTGGTGCACTAAGGTATTATGATTATTGTTGGGGTTGACTACAAGAAAGTTTATTAAACATACATGGATGTTGTCGACGTTCATCATACTAAGTCTTTCTTTTAAGTAGTTACCTATTTAATTTTATTGTTAGCAGAAACTACTTCCTTTTGATATCTAAAAATGTTTAAGGTGGTTGCTGTTTCCTTTGTTGCCTGAAACACTTGTGTTGCTTTTGAAAAAGAATATCTAGTTTTACTTACACTGTAGAACAGGTGTGATATTTTATGTTGGCAGAATTAATATGCAAAATACTTTTTATTGCCAAAACTGCATATAGTGTTACCTGTAAGTACAGTCAAGAAACATAAATGTGGCATCCATGGATCAAAATGTCGCTTTGGTTGCACTCTCAAACTGCAAATGATTAAACTCGGTTTTGATACTGGCGGTGAAAGATGGATCTAGATTGTTACTGTTATTGCAATAACACCCAAGCAAGTCCGCTGACAAATACCTTTATTTTATATGATGCAATAACACCCAAGCAAGTCCGCTGACAAATACCTTTATTTTATATGATGCAATAACACCCAAGCAAGTCCAAGGACAAATGCCTTTATTTTATATGATGCAATAACACCCAAGCAAGTCCACGGATAAATGCCTTTATTTCATATGATGCAATAACACCCAAGCAAGTCCGTTGACAAATACCTTTATTTTATATGATGCAATAACACCCAAGCAAGTCCGCTGACAAATACCTTTATTTTATATGATGCAATAACACCCAAGCAAGTCCACGGACAAATGCCTTTATTTTATTGGAGAATGTATGACAATACTTAGTTATTCTAACTACATAGAAACCATTGAAAAGCTCTTTATTTTTCGCATTCGTATGCCGTAAAACACAAACTTTTGACAACTCTCAAATCTCAAATAATATAAAACATTACT